ACACACACACACACACACACACACACACACACACACACACACACACAGAGATGGCCTCTTCTTCTGTTGGACCTTTTTATACCTGGCTGTGATGCCCGGAGCTGTGGCAGCCATTTTGGGATCATGAGGGAAGCTGGCCCAAGAACAAAGCTAACAAGCTGAGGATAAAAGGCACCAGGTCCTTGGTACCATCTTGAATTAACTAACCCCAGCATCCACCCCCCCACTCAGATCCCTTACCATAAGACAACACAATTTCCTTGTGGTTTGCACAGCTGAATTTTCTGGGTTTTGTATCCAAGAGTGCCTATCAGATATACATCTGCTCTTCCCTCAGCTCTTCCCATGGCTGGCTCCTGCTGTTTCTCAGTCCTCAACCTAAAGGTCAGCTCCTCCTTAAATGTCAGATCAGGGTGGGCTGCCAGCCAGTTATTTAAGGTAGTTCCCACACCTCCCCTCGTCACTACCGCATCTCCGTGAGGTTCTCTTCCTTCTAATTTTTGTGCGGCTTTGGGTTTCAGGGGGTCTTTTTGGCTTTAATGCACCTGCCACATTCCAAAATCATCTCATCCTTCACTTCATCATCTGGCTCCCCTGTTAGAAACGTGAGTGCCCCGAAGGCCAGGGCCTTCCCATCGCTTCGCTTGGGACAATACCTCCCTGCACACAGTAGGTGCGTAGTAAGTATTTAGTGAATGCATAAAGGATGGAGGTAACATAGGAAGTGTCTGCAGGGCAGATGCTGTTCCCGATTTGTGACACGGGTCTCAGGGACTCGGGGAGTGAGGCTGTGTCCCTTCAGTGCTCTTTCAACACTACCAGCCTGTCCGCCTCCGCTGCTCTTGAAAATAAAAATATCTTTCAGAAGTGACTTCCAGGGACATCAATAATGCACACTATTCATCCAAAAGGCCAAGACTTGATATTTAAACTTAAGATCAGCTCATCAAGCTGTTTAAATCATAGATACTTCCGTCCGCTTATAGGATTACGTCACACATCACACGTCTGGATTTCTGACAGCCTTGTTCATCCAATCATTAGGCCCAGACGTTTTTACTGCCCCCTGATGAACCTTCTAGAATTGACTCATCCTCTCTCATGCTTTCACATCGTGCTCTTCTGGTCTCTATTTTGTTACTCATTATTCTCTGCCTGTTCCCCCCCACACACACACACATGCACGCACACATGTGCGCACACACACATGCACACACATACTCTCTGCTTGCTGTTTCCATGAGAGGTGGAACTCTGTCTCACTAGAGTTTTCTATCCCCCAGCCCTATGCTCCATTTTGCCAAATACACGTTAAGGTTCTTTCCCCCAAATTATCCTTCAGGTAATAGAGAGTTACTGTATGTTTAAATCCTTCCGAAGTACCTCAGATCACGAGATACTTTCAGTTACTTTCTTTTGAGCAACAATGTCTATTTGGGAAAGACACGTGACTTTAAAACAACCTCAACTGACGCTAGCAGTGGTAAGGGAGAAGACCTGGGCCTTTTCCGAAAGAGTTTCATTTTTACAGGGAAAATAACATAGGCATTACTGATACACTAAAAAATTAAACGGACAAAAAAAATCAAGCCTAAAACATTCTCCCGGGGCTTCCCTGGTGGCGCAGTGGTTAAGAACCTGCCTGCCAATGCAGGGGACACGGGTTCGGGCCCTGGTCTGGGAAGATCCCACATGCCATGGAGCAACTAAGCCTGTGCGCCACGACTACTGAGACTGCTCTCTAGAGCCCACAAGCCACAACTACTGAGCCCGCGCACCACAACTACTGAGCCCGCGCGCCTAGAGCCCGTTCTCTGCAACAAGAGAAGCCACCGCAGTGAGAAGCCTGCGCACCGCAACGAAGAGTAGCCCCCGCTCGCCGCAACTAGAGAAAGCCCGCGCGCGGCAACGAAGACCCAACACAGCCAAAAATAAATAAATAAATAAATTAAAAAACAAAAACAAACCTTCTCCCTTCTGCCTCTGCGGCTCCCTTTACCCATGGCGGCAGCCCCTGCACATCCTCTATGCTGAGCTGTCCGAGACTGCAACCACTAGCCTGTGAGGCTATCTGAATTCAAGTTAAATAAAGTGAAGACTTCAGTTCCTCGGGTGAAGTCCTCAGTAGCCATATGGGACTAGTGGTGCCGTCCCAGGCAGCACACATGACAGAACATTCCAGAAAGTCCTATGGCACCGCACTGCGCTAAGCAGACAGGCCCAGGAGGAATGGGGAGACATTTTCGTCTTTCTTTTTTCCTTTTTAAACGTCTCTGGGGAGGGCTGTGTGATAACCAAAGCAGGAATGTCCAGGCAGGAAAGACGCTGGCGGGCAGCTGAGCAAATGACCGGAGTTCATCACTGAGCTGTCCACCCCCTTCAGCCAGAGTTCTGATGCCTCAGCTCCTTCAAGCCCCGCCTCTCAGCCTCTTCCGAGCCCCCACTTTGAGAATCCAGTGAAAATTCTAAATGCCTCCCTAGGAAAAATGCACACATTTTTGCACACTTCATCACAGGTTTTGTGGGCCACCCTCTCCCCAAAGCCACTCCCGTCACCCGTGGCCCCCAGGCTGGGCACCCTGATTCGACACCAGTGACAGTGGAGGCCCAGAGAGGTTGAACGACACACGCAAAGACATGTAGCAATCGGCCGGCGGGGCAGAGAGACCAGGTTTCCTGACCCCCAGTGAGACATGCGTCTCCCATATCACATTACAAAGGATATAAATATTGCCAAACTTTTTGTCAAACTCACCAGCCCACTGGCTCCTCTGAGGAACCAAAAAATCCCAGGGGGGGTCTCTGACTTACCAGTTACATTCGGGAGGCACCAGCTTGGTCAGCTCTTCCAGAGATTTCTCTGACCTGTACTCCTGGTAGGAAGCATGTGAAACGTGGTGTTTAAGAGGGAGGCTTCCACGGAGCTCCCATCAGCCCGGGTGACCCCGCCCAGGACTTCAGGACACACATTACACACCTGGATGAAGGCGACGGTGACCACCATTAGCACGGCCTAGGGGGCAAACGGGAGGGACATTAACACCCAGCTGCCCAACGAGCAGGCGAACGAGCCCAGGGGAGGCAAGGAGGGGGCATCGTCCTGCAAAATATTATTTCCTTTTTTCTTGCAAAATAAGAACACTGTGCAGAAATTTAGAAAACAGACGAGCCAGAAAAGCACCTCCAATTCTGCCACCTAGAGGTTCACATCTGGGGGTGATCCTTCTAGATTTTTCAGCATAGATACACGTACAACACAGGATCAGCTAGTACAGAGGTAATCGTTTATCTCTCAACAGCAGCTAATAAACATCAGTCCACATCAGAAGATGCGGACCTAGCCTCAGGCTTTCGAACAGAAGCATCGAATTCCACGGCACGGAAGGAGTCTGTTTTTGTATTTTAAAAGACGGCACTTGACAGATAGAAGGAGGCAGGAACAAAAGTCATCAGGATATGTTCAGAGCCACATTTAGAAGGTCACGTACTGTATGAGTCCATTTATAGGAACTACCCAGAACAGGTAAATCCGTGGGGACAGAAAGCGATGGTGGTTTCAAGGGGCTGGTTGGGGGGGCGGGGGAGGAGAGCGTCTGTGTAATGGGTATGGGATCTCTTTTAGGGTGAGGAAAACATTTTGGAACTAGACAGAGGTGGTGGTGGCACAACATTGTGAATGGAGTAAATGTCCCTGACTTATTCACTTGAAAACGGCTGATTTTTAAAATTAAAAAAAACATTTTTTTTAAAGGTGCCCAACGGTTCTCTCTGTGTAATGATTACGAACAATGATTCTTGTTTTGTTTTGTTTTTGTTTTTTTGGACGCACCACACAGGATGTGGGATCTTAGTTCCCTGACCAGGGATCGAACCCACGTCCCCTGCGGTGGAAGCGCAGAGTCTTAACCAGTGGACCGCCGGGGAAGTCCCCGAGCAATTATTCTTTGTACTGCGCACACAGCCAGGATCCGGCAATTCCATCCACGGGTCACAGGGGAGGAGTACATTACAACATTGTTCCTGACGGCGAAGAACCAGAAGCCACCAGCGTAACCGCCAAGAGAGCGACGGCCAGGGAACCAGGACGCCCTATTTGGGGGTAGAGAAGGATGTGGATTTCCTGTCCTTTCTTTCTGTTGTGTTTTCTTTTTCTAAAAAAATCTACAGCCAAACTCTTTTTTCCTTGCATAACAAAGACAAGCACAGACTCAGCAAGCCCTTCGGGGCACTGCCCCCCACGGGGTGCACTCACCATGGCGATGCTGATGGCATCCTCGTACTCCTTCGTGAGGACGCTCACCAAGGCAGAGGCCAGAAGCAGTAGGATCAGGGGGTTCTTAAACTGAAAAATGAACACAGGGCAGGGGGATCTTTTCTAGGCTCACAGAGATCAGAGACTGGGCTTTCTCCCGTGTAGCAGCGTGAGCTCTTCACTCACAGCCCGCTTCCAGGCCAACCCTACAGTGATGCGCGGGCTGGGAGACGAGGACTACCGCCACCCGATGGTTCTCCACCACCTGAAGACCCACCACTGCAGTTTCACTGACATCGACTTCCTGGGGTCATCCTGACACTGTCCCTGTCAAGACGCCAGCCCCGGCCCTGTCTTTGAGTTCTTGGTCTTGCTTTGCCACATCTCCACGACGCTCCGGGTCAGAATCTTCCCCTCTGGTGGGAGGCCAGCCCTGGCCCAGCATGGCCAAGGGGTCCCCTCTCACTACACCAGGCCTGCAATCCTGTGTGTCCCAATCACAACGACTCACTCTTGTAACTGCCTCTGGGAGCTCCAGAGATGTCCCTCCTGAGAAAACGTGTTCCAGAAACTTCCCAAAGGATTTTTACTTTATGATTTTATGTACAGTGGTCTTCTCTTATCAGTGGTTTTGCTTTCCACAGTCTCAGTGACCTGCGGTCAACTGTGGTCCAAAGCTATTAAATGGAAAATTCCAGAAATACATAATTCATAAGTTTAAAATTCTGTGCCATTCTGCGTAGCATAATGAAGTCTGTGCTAGCCCATTCCATCCTGCCTGGGATCCCCAACCAAACACATCCCCTGCTCCTGGCATCCAACCACTGACACCCTCGTGGCTCAATGATCCAGGATGACATGAAGCAGATAAGCTTCCTTCTATGTCACAATGCCTGCGTCACTCCCGTCACTTCAGCTCTCCATGTAGGCATTGTACCGTCTCACATCATCACAAGGAAAAGAAAGGTGAGGACAGTACAATGAGATATTTTGAGAGAGAGAGAGATTAATTCACATGGCTTTGATTACAGTATACTGTTATAATGGTTCTATTTTATTATTACTGCTGTTAATCTCTTGCTGTGCCTAATTTATTAATTAAACTGTATCATAGATATGTATGTACAGGAAAAAACATAGTATATATAGGGTTTGGTACTATCAACTGTTTCAGCCATCCTTTGGGGTCTTGGCATGTACCCTCCACAGGGAAGGGGGGACTACTGTATCTGTCTCATTTCACACATACATTTCAATGGTTACAGACAAGTGAAAGGAAGCATAAACACAAACATATGAAGACAGGATCGGAGAGAGTAGACCAAAGATCAGGATCAGGGTGGGAGTCAAAATATCAATAAGCAAATCATGGTTGTTTAAATTGGGGCTGTACCTTTGGCTCTGAGCTTCCCAGCAGCAAAGGCAAAAAGGGGAATGTGATCAGATGTGTGATTCGTACTGCTGACAGAAAGAAGCACATCAGCATTACACCAAATCCCAGCATTACATGAAGGGATTTAATGCCTCTCACCCCAGAACTGCTGTGCTTTAACTCCTCTGAATGAGGGACAGGGCACTTTGCGGTCAGCTCACGGGCCACCCGGTGTTAGCCACCGCATCTATTGTGAATCCTCAAGACTGGGCAACTCGAATGTACTTCACCTTCTTAGCTACAATTTTTCTGCGTCTGTATCAAATTATTTGTCTCTATTCTCTGCTAGAATGTAATCTTCCTAAGCATACAGGCCATGCCCATCCTGGGGTCCCCAATCCCTCCAGGACCTAGAAGGGGATCTGAGCACATGGGGAGGCAGGCAAGAGCTCAGGAATCTGATAGAATTCCAGCTGTCTCCACCATGAGCTCATTGACAGACCTCGAGCGAGCCTCTGACTGCTCCAGCCTCTCTCGGCTGATGGGAGGACTAAAGGGCATAAGGAGGATAGAGTGACCTGCCCAGTGGGTGGCACACAGTGGATGCTCGGTACACGGGAGCCAGAAGGACCAAGACTGATTCCAAAAGGCACTGGATAAACACTGGTCAAAGGGAGGAATCGTGGCTGCCTGAGTTCCAGAAAACGGTCCCTCTTATCAGGGCTCTCGATCCAATAGCTGGCCCTCAGGGAAGCTTTCCCATCGATCCTTGCCAGGGCTGGGCTGGGCTGGGGTAGGGGGGGTCACCACACCTTCAGAGAGAACCACACCTCAAAGCCAGCTTGCCTGGGAGCCCCGGTGCTCCGGTCTGAGACACACTGGTGGGAGTCAACCCCGGGAGACCCGTGAAAGAGCTTCCCACAAAAACTTGAAACCTGCATCAAAGTTTCTGAGATGGACCTTATTCAATTAGCTACAGGCTTCTTCCCAAGAGTGATGTCTTCAACATGTAAATAAGCTATCCATCCATTTTACGGATCTTATAAGCCATTCCATGGGCATGAGTCCACAGATTAGGAAAAGGGATTCGATCTAAAGGGCACTGACAAATCAACTGTGAAGAGGTGCCTTTGAGGCATGTGGGGAAAACCAGCTCTGAACCAGGCACTGGATGATGTGAATGAAACGCTCATGCTCTTAGTGGGATAACAGTATTGTTGTTATGGTTTTAAAAAAAAACAACAAAACAAAGACAGTCTTCCCTGGTGGTCCAGTGGTTGGGACTCTGAGCTTCCACTGCAGGGGGCATGGGTTCGATCCCTGGTCGGGGAGCTAGGATCCTGCGTGCCGCACAGGGCGGCCAAAAATAAATAAATAAATAAAAAATAAAAGAGAGAGAGAGAGAGAGAGAGAACAATGTCCTCCAAGGCAGAGATACACACCAAAGTATAGACGGTAAAATGATTCAGTATCTAGAATTTGCTTTAAAATGCTGCAGAGAAAAAAGGGGGATAAAAAATGGGGCAAAACGGGTGGACAATCAGTAAAGCTGGATGCTGGACACGTGGGGTTTATTCTCTGATTCCCCCTCCTAATGTATATTTTTGAAATTTTCCCTAATAAAAGGTTTTGGTCAGAGAAGTTCCAGTTCTGGTCCTGAGAGCACCTGGAAGCACCGGAGATGGGGGTAAGGGGATTGGGGGCAGTTTGCAGAGGGAAGGGGCTGCCAAGAGTCCTTGGGCTAGACTCACAGCTGCCCAGCAGAGCTCACAGCCATGGCCAAACACCACCACCCCAGAGAGGGACACACCCTTTCCTTAGAAGTCCAGGGAGGATGAAGGGCCAGATACAAGGGCAAGCCGGCTAACAGTATATTGGTGTCCTGGGGATGTGGTGATAAATGACAACCTGGGGGGCTTAAAACAAGACACTTATTCTCTCACAGTTCTGGAGGCCGGAAGTCCAGAATCAAGGTGTCGGCAGGGCCGTGCTCTCTCCGGAGGCCCCAGGGTCTCCTAGGGGAGGAACCTTTCCTGACTATTCCAGTTCCTGGCATTGCCGGCACTCCTTGGCTTGTAGACACATCACTCCACCTCTGCTGTCACAGGGCCTTCTCCCCTCTGTGTGTGTCTGAGTCTCTTCTAAGGACACCAGTCACTGGATAGGGGCCCACCCTAACCCAGTATGACCTCATCCTCACTAATCACATCTGCAGAGACCTTATTTCCAAATAAGACCATATTCTGAGGTTCCAGGTAGATGTGAATTTTGAGGGGATGCTATTCAACCTTGCACAGGGAAGGAGAACCCCTCAGTTCAGTGGAGTTAAGAATAAGATTTTATTTCAGCCCCGAGCCCATCATAGACTTCCCACCCGGTTGGACAGAAGTGAGGGGGGAGGGGGCACAAATACGCCCTGAACACCTGTCATGCACCTGCATTCTCCAGGCCACCTTCCGAGGCCGGGCTACCCCACATGCACCAGGCCTCTCCTCAGGGCCTTTGCACGTCCCCCTCCTGCAGCATCCTTCATCCAGACCCTACCACGGCTCCTCTCCTCACTTCACTGGGTCTCTGCTCAGACATCGCCCCCTCCAGACACCAGTCAGATGCCTCTGCTGACCACCCGGCTCCCCACTGGCACGTCCTCACTCCTGTCTTGACTCCTCTCCTCAGGCCACGCCCACTGGGTGCTGTATCACTCACTGAGTGTCTGTTTCCCTGAAACCAGAACCTCGGGTTAGGCCACTGCTCTGTGCACAGTGCCTCGACCTGGCCAGGAGCGCAAAAGGCGCTTATCTAGAATGAATGAACGAACAGCCAACGCCCATCGTTAGGTGGGGGAATCGGAGGCTTGGTGGGGTTGGAGCTCCTGACCCCGGTCACCCAGCACGGTGCAGATCAGCAGTGGGTCTGCACTGCCCCGGCGGCGCGTCCTCCTGGCCAGGTCACTGCTGTGCCGCCGCCTGGATCCCCGCCCTCACCTCTGCCGGCCCTGGCTGGCAGCTCCCTCCCTCCCTGCAGGCTGTACCCAGTGAAGACTCAGAGAGCAGGGTGCCTGTTTCTGCACAAGGGACCCCTCCAGCCATGGGCTCAGGGCTAGCTCATGGGTCCACAGTCCCGGCCAGGATGCTCTAAGAGCTGGGACCAGGTGCTGGCCTCACCCTGAACTCTAATCCCAAGCCCATAATCTCACCCCCTCCCCCTGAGGCTAGACCTGAGCAACCCTCCAGACTGACACTGATACCATCAGCCTCCCTCCCTCCTTCCCCTCCAGGAGACCATCCCAAGCACCTGCCCTCTCCCACGCAAGACAGGTGAGTCACCGTGAGACACGGCACACAAGTGTCAGATCCAATGGGAAGATCCCACCACGTGCCACTAGGGCTGCCCTGGCCACAGATAATCAGACTCTTCTGGCTCTTGGGGCCCCTTCTAAGCCCACAAGTAAAGGGGGACAGGCAGAAAGCGGTCTGTTGAAACCTTACTGTGCGGTGAAATGGCGGTACATGGGAGACGTTCATTACAATGAACAGTAACAACCGCAACAACCAGCATTTCCCGAGCACCTCCTCCAGGCCACGCCCTGTGCTCAGTGCTTTCCCTGCATCATTTCGTAGGCTCCTCCCAGCCCCATGACACAGGTACTGTTAAGCAGTCCTGCCTGATAAATGACCGGCCTGGGGCTCTGAAAGAAACGGAATTGCCAAGGATCGAACTAGATCAGGCAACTCCAACACCTGTGCTCTTAACAGCTACGCTCGAATCAAACCAGGGCTAACTGGCAGACACTGGGACTTGGGGCAAGCTTTACTGGGCACTCAATACGGGCTCAGCCTCTTCTTTTGTAAAACTCAGAACAGGAGGTACTTATTAGGCCTATTTTCTAGATGGGGCAATTGAGGCTCAAGGAGGAGTAACAGTCCCAAGGCTGAAGTGGGATCTGAACCCGGCTGACTCTCCTCTGCCTTTGCTTCATGACTCCAGGACAGGGATCTCGGGTCACGCTAAGGTAGAATTCCTCCTGGTGGGTCTCCTGAGACGGAGAAGCAGGGCTGCCTCGTGAAGTGGTTGAGTTCCCTGTCACTGCAGGTGACAGACAGGAGAGTCACAGCCTCTGGCATGTAGCAGATGCTCAATGAACAAAAAGAATTAATAAGTGAGAGCACGTGGACTTCCTGTGCCCATCCAGGGCGGGTAAACACGGCCATCGGGAGCGTCCTTCCAATCCCGCGAGGATTCCCTGAGATGGATTCCTGAACTGATGAGGTTAAGAAGAAGAAGCACGTTTCCTGCTCTTAGAAACCGAAGAGATTGCATTCCCGGAAAGGTCCTGGCTGGAGGACAGCCCTTGGCGTGAGGTAGAGGCCAGGTGAGCAGGTCCTAGTGGAAGGGGCAGCCAGGGCAGAACTGACCAAGGCCCCACTCCAGAAGGGAGAATGTCCCTCACAGCCTGCGTGTCTGCCCCCTTCCCTGAACTTCACCTTCCAGGAGCCTCTGCTGCCTCTTCCCAACACTGGGATTCCAGGAAGTTTCTGGGTTGCCCAGAACCACCTGCATACCTAGAAGCCTATTTTGGGGCCAAAATGCGTCCATGAATGACATCCCTACGGCACTGAGAACCGACCAATGAGCGGGGTGGGGACTGGAGGAGAAAGGAAGGTGAGGATGCTGCAAGGAGGGCTGTGATTGGTCCCTGAACTGACCAATCGAGAAAGCCCTACATGTGAGCCAGGGGAAGGCAGCTGAAGCCGGGCAGCCCTGAGTTAGGCTAAGAGGGAGGTGTCGGGGCTGGGAGAGGGTGCAAAAGGCCAGAGGGGACACTGAGGCAATCTGCATGGCTTCATGGGAAGTTCTGCCTGTTAACTGGAGCTTTCAGAGCTGGTACTGGGGGGGTGGGGGGCTGATTTCTAGACGGGAATTTGCAGCCGTGTCTATTTCCATTTTCTTCCCCCTTCCCAATGGCTTCCAGGCGTTTGACTCACGCACCACGCATTCAGCACCAATGGCAGAGGCTAAGGGGGCCGGGGCTCTGGAACCAGATGTCTGCCTTCACTTCCCAGTAGTGCCGCTAACTACTGCGTGACTCTGGGCCCTGGTTGCCAGATAAACTACAGGTCACCCAGTTAAATGTGAATTTCAGATAAACAAGGAACTTTTTTTTTTTTTAAGTATAAGTAGGTCCCATGCAACATTTGGGACATAGATAAAAAAAAGAACAGTTTTTTTATGTATGTGCAATTCAAATGTTAACAGGGCATCCTGTAACTTTATTGGCTACATCTGGCAACCCTACACAGCCTCGGGAAATAGTTCAACTGCTCTGTACTTCACCCTTCTCATCTCGAAGTGGGGATTAGGAAGATGATCAAGTGAGTTGATGCTTGCGTACTCACTCAGTCAGCATGTGCCTGGTACATGGTAAACCCTCCCTGAACGGAACAACTACTATTCATGGCCATGGTTGCTGGGGTAGTTAGTGATCCCTCCTGCCGGCTAAGAGCAGCCTGAATGGGGAGAGCCTTAACTTTGTAGTACAGTTGCTCCACACCCTGGGACTTGTCCACGGACACCCTCAATCCATACTTAAACAACGAATGTCCATCCCCCACCCCTACCCCCCAGGCATGCACGAGTTCATTCACGGAATGACACCTACAGTCCTACCTGATCGAGATATTTCTTCCACACGGGTTCTGTGTTATCAGCGACAAACTCATTCCAGCCATGGACCAGCCTGCGCTGTGTCACCGAGAACTCTGACAGTCCGTTCTGTAAATCCACCTGGAGGGAGAAGGATGGGCCAGTAAGGATTAAGAAGCCCAGGTCACAGGATACCCACTCTGGAAGGCAGCTGCTTCCATGATGATCAAGGAAAATGGGCTGTCCACAGAGGAGGGGGCACCGGTTCAAAGACACCGAGCAAAGAGGGGCAGAGACAGGACGAAACCCAGAGTCCAATTTTTTGTCAGTTAGGCCGCACTCTGCCCTCCAGATACTGCAGAAAAGACAGCCTTGGGCTTACATTTCAAGGAGCAACTGTAGTATGGACACCTGGAGATGCAGGAACGCTTACGTTTCATCTTTAGAAAAATGCGTGGGCCTGGGAATGTAAAATGGTGCCGCTGCCGTAGGAAACGTTATGGAAGTACCTCAAAAAATTTAAAGTAGGGCTTCCCTGGTGGCGCAGTGGTTGAGAGTCCGCCTGCCGATGCAGGGGACGCGGGTCCGTGCCCCGGTCCGGGAAGATCCCACGTGCCGCGGAGCGGCTGGGCCCGTGAGCCATGGCCGCTGAGCCTGCGCGTCCGGAGCCTGTGCTCCGCAACGGGAGAGGCCACAACAGTGAGAGGCCCGCGTACCGCAAAAAAAAAAAAAAAAAAAAACATTAAAAATAGAACCACCATATAATCCAGCAATTCCATTTCTGGGTGTGTATACCCAGAGAACTGGAAGGCCATCTCAGAGAGATATTTGTCCACCCATGTTCATAGCAGCATAACACACAACAGCCAGAGGTGGAAGCAACCCAGTGTCCACAAATGCATGAATGGATAAGCAAAATGCGGTGAGGACACACACACACACACACACACACACACACACACACACACACACACA